TCTCTCTCTCTCTCTCTCTCTCTCTCTCTCTCTCTCTCTCTCTCTCTCTCTCTCTCTTTGTTTCTCTTTCTGAGACAGGGTCTCCACATAGTCCCACTGTCCTGGAACTCACTATGTAGCCCAAGCTGGCAGACATGCTCCCTGACCAGAAAACATGCACTGTAAACAAACAACAAGCAAGCAAGTGCAAACGGAACTAAATGTAAATTTGACAGAAATGCCACATCAAAGAGAGACTCAGGAAAGAGGAAATGTGAGAAAAGGAGGGTTCATGTGGAGATTAGGGAATCAGGAACATCCTGATCAAGATAAACAGCTCATCAGAGGCCCTCAGCAGGCTTGAACTGGATGAAGAAAGAGTGAGCAAACCAGAAGATAGAGGGAGGGATCGTGTAAGCTGAGGCATGGAGAGGAAGAAAGAGCCAAGGACCACGGAGGGAGGGTGAAAGCAGGCAGTGCTGTCAGACACATGCAGGGCTCTACAAGGAAGGGACAGGAAGGAGTGAGGGAACTGCTTTTAGAAATAATGTCTGTAGATGTTTCAAATTCCTTTAAAAGCAATAATCAATACATTCCAGAAGTCCTACCAACGTTAACCATAAAGATGCTAAGGACTAGAGGCAGTAGATGTTTTCAGGGCCCAGCTGCACACACGGGCTTACAGTGGAGCAATAACATATATGAGACATGGGTAAGCCGAAGCCAAACGCAAGCAGCAGAGGAAGTAGGTATAGAGTCTCATGCTAGCTTCTAGCTGGAGAGCTGTTGGCAAGTGTTAGCCACCAGGAAAGGAAGAGTCGGTGTTCTTCACGTGTGTAGCCTCTTTAACTCGACCGCAGTGAAGGCCACACATTGGTGTGTATGGAAGCACAAGGTAAAGTTATTGGGATTGAAAGAAAGAAAGGAAGAGAGAGAGGAAGGGAAGTGGTGAGGGGGGAGGAGGGAAGAAGGGAGAAAGAGAGAAACAGAAAGAAGCAAACAAATAAAGAAAAGATAAAGATGAAATGAATGGCCACATGAAGCCCATAAAGAAGGAAGACCAAGTGGGAGTGATTCGGTCCTTCTTAGAAGGAGCAACAAAATACTCGAGGGAGCAAATATGGAGACAAAGTGAGGGACAGAAACTGAAGGAGGGGCCGCCTGAAGACCATTCCACCTGAGTATCCATCCCATGTGCAGTCACCAAAGGTAGATGCTGATGTGGAAGTCAGGAAGTGCATGCTGATAAGAGCCTGATATGGATGTCTCCTCAGAGGTCTGCAAGAGTCTGACATATTCAGAGGCAGATGCTCACAACTAGCCATTGAACTGATCATGGGGTTCCCAATGGAGGAGTTAGAGTGAAGACTGAAGGAGCTGAAAGGATTTGCAGCACCATGAGGAGAGCAACAATACCAACCAACCACAGCTCCCAGGGTCTAAACCACCAGCCTGGGAGCACTTAGGGAGGGATCCATGGCTCCAGCTGTATATGTAAGAGTGGAGGGCCCTGCTGGGCATAGGTGGAAGAAGAGAGCCTTGACCTCATGAAGGCTGGACGCCCCAGGGGGTGGGAATTTGAAGGTGGGGAGGTGGGAGTGGGAGGGTAGGTAGGGGTGCATCCACAGAGAAGCAGGAGGAGGGGTGAGGGGATAGGGGGTTCCTGGGCGGGTGGGGGATGGGGTAAGGGAACAACATATGAAATGTAAATAAAACATCCAATAAAAAATGAAACGAATGAAAGATTTCATTACAATTGAAAAGTAAAAAAATCTTAGAAATAAAAATACATGAGAGTGGCAAAACCAAGTTATAAGCACTAACTTTAAAAGTTTTACTATGTAATGAAATTTAAAAGGCAATACATACATTTTTAACTAAATAAAAGTTCCAGAGAGCCAGGCCTGCATAGAGAGACTATGACTTAAAGGAAAAAACAACAACAACAGCAATAACAACAACAACAAATAGTAGCTACATGAGAACACCAGCAAACACTGACAGGCAGGAAAAGAGGGCAGAAGGCCTGCCATGTCTGCACACCAGAATTGTAGAAGGCACAGTTCATTTTTATTGAATTGACCTGCCTCCTGCTTAATGCTATATACTATAAAGTACCAAGATAAAAGGAATAACATAGTTAAGTCCAAATGAGCTGCAAATGTAGGGTTTCCTGAAGCTCCAAACGCTGTCCCTTCTCAACCCACCAGGTCTAATCTTCCTGTGAGAGGGGCTGAGGCTGAGGTCTCTGTGGTGAGAAAGAATGAACAGCTGTGGTTTCCCAGAGGAGGCCAGAACACTCCAAGCTGGGCGCTGGCGCTCTGCTAAGGGATGTGGAGCACTACAAGGAATGTCAGATGCAGATAGCTTTCTGATACAGTGACAGCACAAGATGTTGCTAGCACAGCTGAACACAAGAGCAGAGGATCTGGTGATGCCAACAAAACAGCAGCACACCCATTGTCCTGAAAATGGCAGACATGTAGCTGCTGCTGCTTGGCCATTCAGAGCTCAGTCTTGTAGTGAACTGCATGAAGACAGCCATTCAGAGTCATCCCAACTTGGAAACCACATTCCATCTGGAGCAGGAACCTATTCCCTACTCCAATAACACCTGACCTAGCTTTGAGCTTACCGTTAGTCACTTTCCAGTGTTCTGCCATTGAGACCTGCTCTTCTCCAACACTGTGCAGGGCTGCTCATGATGCATTTTGACAAGACATTGACAATGACAATCCAAATAACAACAGGTTTTTTCATTCTTTTACCTAAAGGATTTGTATGCTGGGCTCTGTATCTGGTAGAGATAGTAGATGCTTTTCTTACAAATAACAAGTGCTAAGTTTCAGTTGATTGAAAAAACATGAAGGATTCTTAGACATTAGTTCCCTCTGTGATGTTCCACACTTTCAACATTACTGCTTAGAAACTTCATGGTAAGCACTTTCCTTAAAGCCACTTTCATGTCTCTGTTCCTCAGGCTGTAGATGAAAGGGTTCAGCATGGGGGTCACCACTGTGTACATCACAGCACCTGCCATGTCTCTCTCAACTGAGTGAGAGGATGAAAGGTTAAAATACTCCTCAATGATGGTTCCATAGAAGAGGCAGACCACAGCCAGGTGGGAGCCACAGGTGGAGAAGGCTTTCCATCCTCCCCTTGGGGAAGAGACTCTCAGGACAGCACAGGTGATGTGAATGTAGGAGATCAGGATGCAGACAAACGGGGCGACCATGACCACAGCTCCCTCTGTAAGAATCATCAGCTCATTGAGATGTGTGTCTGAGCAGGAGAGTTTGAGGAGAAGAGTCGCATCACAGAAGAAGTGGGGGAGGATGTTGTTCCCACAGAAGGAGAGTCGAGCCATGAGCAGTATGTGCAACAGACAATTCAGGTTAGCTACCACCCATGACTTAATAACAAGAAGGACACAGAGCTGATGGGTCATCTTTGTTGTGTAGTGTAAAGGGTGGCATATGGCCACAAATCTGTCATAGGCCATCACAGCCAGCAAGAAATTGTCCATGTCAGCAAATATACAGAGAAAATATAGCTGTGTGAGACACCCAGAGAAGGAAATGGTCTGAATCCCGAGTATGTGGTTGGCCAGTACCTTGGGGACAGTGGTGGAGGAGAAGCAGACATCCACAAAGGACAGGTTGCTGAGGAAGAAGTACATGGGGGTGTGCAGGCGGGAGTCTGTGCTGATGGCCAGGATGATGAGCAGGTTTCCCAGGACAGTGGCCAGGTACATGATGAGGAAGAGCAGGAAGAGGAGCTGCTGCTGCTGCTCGGGCTGCCTGGAGAGTCCCAGGAGGAGGAATTCAGTGACACTAGACTGGTTGGTGCTGCTCATGAGTCTGAGCCCAGCTACAGAAAGGAGAAGCAGAGGGCAGAAGGCTGTCTGCAGGTTTGGTTGCTACAAGCAGGTTCAGATTAATTCAGCATTAGAGTTTCTGAATTGAGATACACTCCCATTTTCTACTTACTCCATTTACAAATCCAGTTTTAGGTCATGTTGGTTCCCCAGAGCCACTTGTTTAGTTTTATTGGACATAAAGTAAAGGCATTCTTACACATACGCTGATCTTACCTTTATCTGGTAGCATTTCCAGTCTTCCTCCCAATCCTTAGAAGCTTAAAGGAAAAGAGAAGCAGCCAGTTAATGTATTGATCTCAAGCTCCAAATGGTGGACCTGTGACTCCTGCTGCTGACCCTCTATAGGAGAGAGTAAGCAACACGTGTTGCAGAAGATACATTGACATCTCTACTACTCTGAAAATACCTGGACAGGCCAGTTCTATTGCTTTTACCTTGCAGTTACTGGGCAGTAGTGTTCTTTATTCTAGTGATTGGAAAGTCTTGGGAATATAGGAAGGTTCTGAGAAGATAAAGAAGACTGGATGATCACCGTCCCAGCCCTCTGTGTCAGAAGGAGGTCTGGGAGAATTAGACAGGTATTTACTGCAGCATAAAGGCCCACTGGGGATAGACTCCCTGAGTATCTCATTAAAGACCAGCAGAAAGTAGTTGGGTAAGCCAGCTCTTGGTCCCTCTTGACCAACAATGCTGGAACATATCATCTAAGCTCAAAGTGCACATATCATTGCTGTTGTGTTCAAGGCTAGACTTATCTATCATACCAGATCCTGTCTCATAAAAACAAAAACAGCACAAAGAAAAAGAGACATTAGAAGCTGGGGAGATGGCTCAGTGTTTAGAGCACTTGTTGCTTCTGCACAGGGACCAGTTTCCACTCCCTGCACCCATATAGTGTTTCTTAACCGTCCATAGCACCAAGTTCAGGTAATCTGCGATCTGACACCGTATAGTAATCTCCTTGGACATGCACATGGTGCACTTGCATGTATATGCAGGCAAATCACATGCAAATATGTCTTTTTAAAAAGAACAAAAAATGATAATTACTATGTAGTCTGGGCTACAGAGGCATGTCTCACCATAAAACAAAAGAAACAAATGAAAGGAAACAGTAAAAATCAATAATATAATAATAGTGAAATAGAAAAAATAGCTGGTCAATGTTGGTGCCTTTAATTCCAGCACTCTGGAAACTGAGACAGGTGGATCTCTGTGAATTCTATGCCAGCCTGGTCTACAGATTGAGTATCAGGGAATACAGCATAGTTACAATGAAACTCGGTCTCAAACACCACCCCCAGAAAAAAACAAACAAATAAATAAAAAAAATAGGAAAACAAAGTGTATGGGTATAGATGAAATGATATTAGCTTTTAGTTAATTCTAGTATCTATGTGCTTAAATATCTGTGATGTCTGCTTTTAATATATGTTTGAAATTTTCTACAATAAAGTTCTTAGTTTAAAATCTGAACTTTTACTGGATATGATGGAGCATGCCTTTAATCCCAACAATTGGAAAACAGAAGCTTTTGGGTCCCTGTGAATTCAAAGCCTGTCTGGGCTACACAGTGAGACATGTGTTAAGAAACAAAGAAAAACATCATTATTTTAGCAAACTTGGAAGTTGGTTCAGTAGGTAGAGTGCTTCCTGTATAAGGTTAAAGACCACAGTTCAGGTTCCAGCACCTTTATATATGCCAAACAAGTGTAACAGTCAGCCTGTAATCTTAGTGCAGGAGGCAGGGAAGATATCTTGAAGGAAATGGTTAGGTAAACTAGCTGAGTCGGCAAGTGTTCAGTAAGAGAGCCTGCCTTTGAAGAGAATGTGGAAAGAGATCAAAGAGGATACCTGGCACCAGTCTCTGACTTCTACATGTGTGTGCACACACATGGACCCCTACCTGTATACACACACAGGAGCACACATGCATAAATGCATGCACATTGCAATCACACATATGTGCTCACACACGCACACACACACATACACACACAAACACACACACAGTTTTTTCGTTGATTAATAAAATTTAAAGAAGAGGAATATCAGAACTTCTGAGGATGAAGCAAAAGACAGCCTCATGACCTGCTTGAGAATAATTTTAAGGGGCTGACTGAAGTGATCCAATGCCTGTTTGTACATGTCTAAGTTTGCTCATGGAGATTGAGGAGGGATGATCCAGGAGTCAAGGTCAGCCTGGGTTACACACACACACACACAGAGAGAGAGAGAGAGAGAGAGAGAGAGAGAGAGAGAGAGAGAGAGAGAGGAGAGAGAGACTCTTCCTTTGAGAGGTTTCCACAGGGTCAGAACACACACCAACAATGACCTCAGAAAGTATTCTTTGTAAAGATGCTATCCAATCTTACTGGAATTATATTTTTTATAAAATTTTATCTGTATAAATGTGTAGTAGGTCCTTTTTCTCACACTTAAGCCTTAAGGAGCCAAAATGTTAAACACACAGGGTTGTCACTGCAATAGGTGGAATGTGTAAGCTGGTTTCCTCCAGGAAAACTGGGAGAGGACGTATTAGTAGCCTTTGGCTCTCTGTGTGGCCAGGCCCCATTTGCCACCCAGACCCTTACCTTGAACTTGTCTGAATCTATAGCACAGGCCTCCCCCAGGTCCTCATCACGAGCTTGTTCATCTTGAGCCCCGTTCCTCCATTAATCTATGGATTCTATCTTTATGGGAGACGTCACTTGTACTTTATGACTTTACATGCAGTCATGTATTTTTTTTAAAGATTTATTTATTTTTATGTTTTGAATACACTGTCACTGTCTTTAGACATACCAGAGGAGGGCATCAGATCTCAATACAGATGGTTGTGAGCCACCATGTGGTTGCTGGGAATTGAACTCAGGACCTCTGGAAGAACAATCAGTGCTCTTAACCGCTGAGCCATTCCCTCCAGCCCATGCAGTCATGTTTTAAGCTTTGTTGTGCACATGACATTGAGTTAGCTATACCCTGAAAGTCTTCTTTTTTTCATATGTTCTTTCTTAAATATGACTAAAATAAACTTTGTGGTTGAACCAACACCTGCTACTGAGTTGTGTTGAAGTGTACTGAACTGCCTTTTTCTTAATCTTCCTTGGATTGTTGCTTTGCTGGCCTTGGGCTCATGAACAAGTCACAGAGATGCCTTTGTGAATGTTTGACTTGCATGCATATCTATGCATCACATGCATGCCTGGTTCCCATAGAGACCAGAAGAGGAAGTCAGATATCCTGGAATTGGTGTTACTGATAGTTGTGAGTTGCAATGTAGGTGCTGGGAATCAAACCCTTGTCCTCTGAAAAAGCAATCCTTGCTTATACCTTTGAGACACCCCCTCTAGATCAGATGCTTTAGTGAATTTTATTTAGACCAATATATTAAGACAGTGTCATGTAAATTAGTAGAGTTTATCAGCTTATATGATCAACAAAGTGGAAGAGAGTTTTACTCACTTCAGAGCCAAGCTAGGGTGATGATAGACTGACTGAAAGTTGTTTTTCACGAGGTGCCTCATCAGAGGATTCATAATGTAAGAGGGGTAGACTGCACAAAAAAAATTGAACCAACAATAATCAAACAAGCAATAGTAAGAACAAACACAGCAGAGGGAACCAGAACCACAGTATTCAGTGATATGTTTCTAAAAATACCCAGTTTTCAATAACAAAATAAAGATTGAAAGGAAACAGGAAAGTATGACCTTTACAGAAGAATAACAAGCAACAGATATGGTCTCCGGAAAGAGCATGAGGCATCTTTAACAAAATGGAACAGAGGGTAATATTGAAGAAGTAAATGAAAGTATGATGACAACGTCAAATCAAGTAGGAAATGAAAAGCCAAAAATTATGGGGAAATGTTAAATGGAAATTCTGAGTTGGAAAGTAAACAATGGATATAAAGTGTCCACTAAATTGGCTCTACTGAATTGCACCAGAATAAATTAATAATTGGCAAATTAGTAAATCGTTACTTAAAGATTGTGAAAGTTGAAGAAAAGGTAAAAGGAAGAGGAAAAAATGAATTCAGAGTCAAGTGTAGACAATGTTCTTACAGCAAACACAAACAATAAGGACGCTTAGGGGAGAGAGAGGGCAAGGTAAGGTATGAAGGAATAATGGCCAAAAACTCAAATTTAAAAATGACCTGTCCCAGCTAGAGACCCTCGTGCCTTCCAGTTTGCACTTGGGCCTGGAGCCGAGCCCCTGCTCTGGATCCAAACACACAGATCCCACATCCCAGTTGTAGCTCGACTCCCCAGGTATTCTGACACATCCAGGATCACAGGTGAGACCCCAAACCCCACCCAAATACCCAGCATAACCTAGACCCATGGGACCCTGGTATACAGATAACCAGACCAGCCAGAGACCCTCATGCCTTCCAGTTTGCACTTGGCCTGGAGCAGAGCCTCTGCTCTGGATCCCCACTCACTCAGCCCACACCCCAGTTGCAGCTCAGACCATCAGGGGCTCTGACACATCCAGGACTACAGGCTCACAGGAAGGACAGGCTTCAGTCAGAGACAGCAAGGCCAATTAACATCAGAGCTATCCAGATGGCGAGAGGCAAGTGCAAGAACATAAGCAACAGAAACCAATACAACTTGGCAACATCAGAACCCAGCTGACCCACTACAGCAAGCCCTGGATACCCCAACATACCTACAAAACAAGATTCAGATCTAAATTATTATTTCATGAAGATAAAAGATTTTAAGAAGGACATAAATAGCTAAGTTAAAAAAATACAGGAGAACACAAGTAAATAATTAGAAGCTTTTAAGAGGAAACAAATCCATTAAAGAAATGTAGGAGAGCCCTGTGACCTTTTATTGTGGAATACATGGGTACACATGGAGGGTCCCATGGCTCCAGCTGCATATGTGGCAGAGGATGGCCTTGTTTGTCATTAATGGGAGGAGACGCCCTTGGGCTTGAGAGTGTTCAATGCCCCAGTGGAG